TCCAGAATTTTCTTGCTTGTGAAAATAAGTTTGTATTACTTTTGAAAAACTTTAATATTGAAAGTGCATGTTATTTTCTGGAATTTTTGAAAATATGCTGTACAGAAGTAATCACATTTCGTACTTCTTATGACAGTCTTATGAATGTGTATTTTCATTGACAAAAGGCAAGAAGTTACCGAAATGTGTTTATGTTCCTGTTGATCAAAAAGAAAGTTACTAAAGTTGTTCATAAACATTCCTAATGTACTGAAATGAAAATATGTGCTTTGGCTATTCACATTTTTTTGAATATCAATGGTTTTTGTATCAGTAACATGAGGAGAATCCGTATCCTATATGTAGTTATGGTAGGATCCTCTGTGCAGGCCCACATTTCACTGACTTGCCCCCGCCGTTTTGACTCTGGGAACAAAAATTAAGTAACCACTAGTCCACCGAGGGTGACACTAATGTTATGTAGTGTAATGTTTTCTTGTTGATTTTAAATGTAAATAAGTTTGCATGTTTGTTACATCACTACGCCATTGATATAGTGTCATGTAGGGTATAGTATGCACACAAGCTTGACTCTAAAATCTCTTATTTATTGCGTGTGTTTGTATATGTTTTTTGTTGTTACAAAATCACATTACGTACGTGCTGGATCCCATGAACCAGGAGTCGCTTACAGTGAGTTTTGCATCTCATTCTGTGCAGGCGCTTGGCAAGTTGGGAAAGGTGATTAAGATCTATTCAGATGGGGACCTGCGTGTCAGTATTGATGGTCAGACGTGGACACTCAACCCACTTTGTGTTCAGCTTGTCCCGGGCTCAGCCACCGAGCTCAGCAATACAATGCATGCCAACACGAGAGAAGAACATGCCAGTAAGTGATGATGACCGAACCTTAGCTTCACTACTCCTTTGTGAGGAATTGACACAACCGAGATATTGGCATGTGGAGTAATACGCCACGCAACACATGCCAGCCTGTTGAAGTCATTTATTGTATAAAGATATTTGTTATCATAATATTAGCTGAATGGACAGTTTATTTAATCTTGACGGTAATGTTATATTATTGGAAGTTACCTTGTTGCGACAGGATGAGATGGTGTCTCAGTCTAACTGTCGCTGCTAATGGGGCCCATTGTCCATTCCCCAGATAATACATGAGTGAATATGGAGCAGTGATGGAATTATATTGACAGAGGCAAACTAAAGTACTCAGAAAAAAAAAGTGTCCTAGTGCCAATTTGACAACTACAAACCCTACATGGATTGAGCTGGTTGGAAACCCAGGCTTCTGCTGTGAGACGCCAGTGACTAACCGCCTGAGCTCATGCATGACCTTATTGTTATACAAAATTGTAAGGAAGTGTTGTTGGTCTTACTGGTGTTACAGTTAAGATAAGTGTAATCATGCAGGAAGTAAATAAGGTGTACTGTAGGTACTCTTCTTTTACCTTCAGATTGAAACTCGGCTGAACATGCATTAACACGTTGTTCCTCCTAGTATAGTGTAGTAGAGCGTAGAAAACTAGAAGGGCCCTTCTAACATAACATAACATAATGAAATCTGAAGATTTCTGTCTTCTGGGTTGTTACACTGTGTATCTGGCGATCGTCCCGATGACGGAGGCAGTATGACCTCTGAAACGTTGGTTAACATCGACCAGACTACACAGCGCAACAACCCAGAAGACAGAAATCTTCATACTCACCGCTGTGAAAACCTCAAATCTTACATAATGAAATCTCATTTAAAATGTAAATACCCGGGAGGAACTGCAATGGTAGCACCACACATTATCGTTTTAAATGGAATGGGTAGAATATTAATTTCATGAATGGTGTGTAATTCAACCTATTCACATGTCTCTATTGTAATCCATTCTTACTGTTGGGTTACCGCAGTAACTGTATGTTGCAGACCCCTTGGCATCGCTGTTGTTAAACCTGGTGTTGGGGCCGCAGCAGCTGGAAACGACAAATATGGATAAACTGGTGCGAGAGGCAGCCCAAGGTCATCTTGATGTGGTTAGAGAGTTTTTTGCGAAGTACCCTGACATGGTGGATGGCCGTAGCGGGGGCAAGACATGTCTCCAGGTGGCGTGTCACCAGGGTCATGTAGAACTTGTGCAGTTTCTCCTGTCAGCAGGTTCATCACTCGAAGTCGCCGATGACGACGGAGACACAGCGCTGCATTACTCCGCGTTTGGAAATCAGCCAGAGATAATGGAGATTCTGCTGAAGAAAAATGCAGACATCGACGCCGTGAATAAGGGACGATGCTCGGCTCTCCACGTGGCAGTAAATAAGCAGCACCTGCACTGTGTAGTCATGCTGCTTAAGTACAAGTGTAATGTCAACATACAGGACTCTTATGGTGATACAGCACTGCATGACGCGATAGGGAAGGACAGCGTCGAGATCATAGACATGCTGTGTAGTGTGCCAGGTGTCGACTTCACGCTAAAAAATAAGCGAGGGTTTAATGTCTTGCACCATGCTGCTCTCAAAGGGAACAACTTTGCCACAGAGCGACTGCTGGGACGAACTCGGCAACTGGTCGACGTGAAGAAGGATGACGGATTTGCAGCCCTCCACCTGGCGTGTTTGAATGGGCACCGAGCTGTAGCAGACACGTTGCTTGCACAGGGACAGGCAGAAGTAGACCTTCGAAACAACCGCAGGCAGACACCACTTCTGCTGGCTGTCTCGCAGGTATACCATCATAATCATAGCTGATTGTCGTCAGTTGTAGCATTTTCAAAATATAATACTGTGTTTTACTGGAACTGTTCTTACGTCTGAAGATGGTTGTCCTCTGGGTTGCACTGTGTAGTCTGGCAGAAGCTTACCATCGTTTCAGAGGTTCTTGCTGCCTCGATCATCATGCCACAAACAGTCGAGCTATGACCTTAAATGAATTAAGAAATTCTGTGTGTCCTGAGTACTATTGATGCTTATAATTTTGTTGTTGCCATGAAATTTTGTATGGATTTTCCTGTAATAAAAATGGTTTATGAGTAAATCATGTGAACCGTACTGGTTACACACAAAAGTGATTCAAATAAGACTTGAAAAAGAATTGTGAAATTATTCGTTTTTGGGCTTAACAGGCACATTCGGGAGATAAGCCGAAAAAATATTTCTGCTCTTTTGTAAAGTGGTCATTAAAATTGTCTGATTTAAATGAAAATTTAAATTGCTTGACGGTATTTTTTGAGTTATCCAGTATAATACTTGATAAACATCGGTTTATCCGTTGTTCTTGTGTATGTACAGATGGAATGAATCTCATAGATGCTTCACAGGGTTGCAGACATGCCTGAGAAGAAGCTTCATAATTTAAACTTCTCACTAATTGTTATAAGGGTGATCATATCAGGGAGAATGATAATGGATGGGGCATGTATCATATTGTGTGTGTGTGGTCCAGAGAAACATATCTGCTAAGCTGAAATGCCGAGCTCAGTTTCGAAAGGATAAAATTGATAGCAGTGGCCAAGTACTAAGGCAGTTTGCTGTTTTTTTTTATAGTTTTAAAATGTGCAACAATCATTTTAGGAAGGGCGTAACGCTGAATCATATTTTTTTCCAGTCGCTATTTAATTAATTTCTGCTATCTGTGTCTGGTTGCACTGAAAATGATGAGGACTTTGTTTAGCTGATTTCATAAGCATTTGTCCTAATCTGTTATTGTGCTGTTCATTATTATAAGACAATCCTACTTTTATCAGATAAAACCTTAAGTCTTATATTTGGGCATATATCATAATAAATATCAGATAACTGAGGTTATTACGCTGCATCTTTACATGGATGTAACCCTGAGGTTACACATAAAAGTGGTCATGATTTCTCCATGTGCATTTGTTTCTAGGGCCACTGTTCTGTAGTGGAGCTGGTAGTCTCCATGTCCGCCGACGTTGATGCAGAAGATGAAGATGGAGACACTGGTCTCCACCTGGCTCTTATGAAACGGGCAACTATTTCAACTGAGATCAATGAATTAGAGGCTCCTATTATCTATGGAATCTTCACGCAACTTGCAAGCCAGACTGTGGAGCACCTGGTTGCACTCGCCATTGCATGCTATCTTGTCCAGGAGGGTTGCAAGTTGAACAAGAAAAACAATAAGGGAAAAACTCCCTTAGACCTAGTTCAGAACACTGTAATGGCTGATTTGTTACAACAGTATGTGACACCTCGCAGTGTTGGGAACGAGCCTTTAGCTAGGGGTCTGACGGTCGACCCAGAACTTGCAGTACAGTCTGACAATGGTAGTAGTACATCAGCGGTAGAGAAGAGAGCCCCTGTCCCTGTTGAATGTGCAGTGTGTTCAGAGTTGGGTGAGGAGAATGTATTGTTTGAACCCTGTGGGCACCGGATTGCCTGTGAAGATTGTTCCGCCCGCATGAAGAAATGTCTGCGCTGTGGCCAGCTTGTGACAAAGCGACTCACACACGGTCTGTTTCTGTGGTTATATATATTAAATTGTTTCAAAAGATTTGGAGATGTGTATCGCACAGATATAATATTTTAGAGTGTGCAAGGTAGGCTGTTACTTTACTAAGTCTAATTTCTGATAGATTTACGTAAGCTGAATATTAACAATAAATCTAATGCCATTAGTCTCTGCGATGTCTCCTCCATACAGCCAGTGTAATTTGATTTGTATGTGGGCTAATGGATGGCTGGAGATATTCTGTTAGGAATCTACGAGGCTCGTCCACAAAGTAAGTTTTCCTGGGGCCGTTTACAGAAACAAAACACAATTTCATGGAACTATTTGTTGCAACAGATACAGCAAGTGTCCAGCTATTTTTCAACATATTCGCCACCGGAATTGAGACATTTGTCATACCGTGGGACCAACTTTTGAATACCTGTGTCGTAGAAGCGGCGCTATGCTCTGTGCATTCAAAAACTTTATCACTGACCGCACTTCACAGTCGGCGGGAGCTGGAATAAGAACCTCCATCTTCAACAGCTGCAACGATGCTACTGTGAGAACGCGGGAAGTACCGTTAGTGCATGCGCCATGCTACGTCATTGCTCTATCACGTACGCACAGTCGCTTCGCGCAATATAAGGTTTGCTAGCTGTGGGACGAGTGGGAAACTTACTTTGTGGACGCGCCTCGTACTTTAGTCATTCAGCGGGACACATGGACAAACTGTGTGGTCTCAGTGTTTCTGTGGGCTCTTCTCCATTTCTTAACTGCCCAATTTATTTTCTTATGTTTAGCTTACTGAATGTATCTGAACAAGGTGATACCCTTCTCAACATTTAATTTAACAGAGGAACACTTTTTTAAGATTTAATGCTTTGATAATTTTAAACAATCACTAGGGTGCAGCTTCTTAATTCCGACGGACGTATCTTAACATACTTTGTTACTGGAACTTGTCACTGTATCAGGGATTTTCCTGTTTCTGCAGATGGGCGTGTGATTGCTTGCAAGTCACGGCAGCCCAGCACAGAACGACTCCGATACCTGGAGTCTAAAATAGCTGAGATTGAGGAGGCACACTGTTGCTCCATCTGCATGGAGCGGAGGCGGAATGTGGTGTTTCTTTGTGGCCATGGAGCATGCGAGAAGTGCTCCACTACCCTGAAGATATGTCACATGTGTCGCAAGACCATCACCAAGAAGATTAACCTGTATTAGTATTGCACTTCTGTGAAAAAGGTACTTAAAATTGTGCCCTTGATTTAGAGGATCCCCTCAGTGAGGTATAAAATCAGTGGTAGTTTGTGACTTAACGAGCTGGCTGCCAGACGTAAATTTGATATGATAACACACTGGTGACTATTACACTACACCCGTCCCATTTATGTTGTTCGGAATACATTATTTCACTCCGTGATGACTGAACTTCCTTATAAATGATATAATCCTGTGACCCACTGAGGCGTCTTGCAGCACTGAAATCTATTCTCAGGTGCCCCACTGGAGACCCTCATGGGAGCCATTGTGTTAATAGTGGTCACACTGTTAGTGTGAATGACATATCCATCTACCTAACCCAATTTATTCATAGCTGTGAGTTTGATACAGGAACGTAGACACAGAAATAGAACAGATAGCTGTGAGAATAATGATCTAGGTCTTGCCTTAATAAATTATGGTGGGTGGAAAAATATGAACGTCTTGGAAAATGGTATGTGTTTGAACCTGAGCATATATATTCTGTGTCATGTGAATGGTACGGAAGATAGTTTCAGATCTTAAACTTTTATATTCAACAAAATAACCACAAAATGATGGTACATGCATTGTCAAATTGCATATTTCCTGAATGGCTTGTTGTCGAAGAGTGTAATGGTAAGACGGATGGAAAGAAAACCAAAATGAAATGTAAACCCACCATATCTGCCTGATATAACGCATACGTTTATCTTCAGAATGTTATCTTCTTCCTCTAGTGCCATTTTCGTTTTATGTAGGATGATGGTTTTTAACTCCACATATTGACTGAGCATTTAAATAGATATGTGAAAGAGTGAAGTGAAATATTTTTAAAATTTGTTTAATGCATTGATAGTCTAGAAAATATTTTTTAAAGTTTTTAACTAATTTGTAAATACATTTTTTTTATTTGTGCAGTTTAATCATTTAGAATTCTGTTACAGTTATATGTAATTATTAAATCTGAGCAAGTATGGTAGTAATTCTTTTAATCTTGAATGCATACAGGAAGTGTTTTTAATGCTTGTCTGATTTAAATGTGTTGTTTTATATTTTTACAATATTATTTGTTCTGTGCAGAGGCAGGGACTTTGTGATGGCTCAGATGGCCACGTCGAGCTTACAACATGTCTGTTGCTTCCTGTAACTTGACACTGAACCGTCCTTCATGAATCTCGGAACAGAAGAGGAATTGGCATTGCAGGTGGTGTAATTACACTTGGCAGCACTTTGTCAGAGAACAGATCAGGCCTTGGTATGACAGCGCAAATTTCTTGTAGTTTCTGAGGTTTTCATTTGGCATTTTGGAATGTAACTGTAGCAGGTATCATGCAAGATGATAGATTCATGCGACAGTGGTGTTTCTTTAACTTTCCGCAACAGCTTTATGCAAAATCTGGGATAGTAGTACAGTGAAAGCTCATTATTTCAGACCTTGTAAATGTAGTAAAATCTGTCCAAAAGTGGCCATTTTTAAGTATGAATAACCTCGTAAAGGTGCAACAAGTAATAATACTTACATTGGCAATATGGAAAATTTAAATATCTAGTATACAGCCTGCTAGATGTGTTTTATCCTCTGGTTGTTTATTTCTGCACCTTCTCATGTTAAAATGGCCATAGTTAATGACATCTTAAGATACTGCATTTGAGCTAAGAATATTATGAAGCTTGTGAGACAGTAGTTATGTGTATAAATTCATTAGTTCTATGCATGTTACAGAATGTTAACATCTAAGGTAAATGTAGGTTATACAAATTATGAAAAGTTTACAAAGACGTGAATGGGTTTGTAACGAAAAGTTTGAAGTTTGTTGGTATATCGTTCTGTTTTGACAGAGATGCATACATTATTCTTATTGAATTTGGTATACCAAAGAAGCTAGCAGGTTTAAAAAAAATGTGCTTAAATGAAACCTGTAGCAAAATTCGTATAGGTAAATATTTATCTGAGTCATTTTCCATCAAGAACAGTCTAAAACAAGGAGATGCTTTGTCTCCATTGCTCCTTAACTTTGCGTTACAATACGCCATCAGGAAAGTCCAAGATAGGCAGGAGGGTTTGCTATTGAATGGGACACATCAGCTGTTGGCATTTGCTGATGTTAATTTGTTGGTATAAATACAATAAAGGGGAACACAAAGTTTTACTAGAAGCTAGCAGAAAGGTTGGCTTAAAAATAAATTCAGAAAAAACTAAGTACAGTGGTTTCTGGTTATTTGGGACATATCAGTACTAGAACTCTTTGGCCCAATTAAGTAGCTGCCCCAAGTATGCGAAGTTCCATGTAAAGAGTTAAAAAGATTTGCCCCAATTAACAAGAATCTACTGTACATGTTAGTGTCCCATCAGCAGACAGTCAGGCAAAGTCATAAGAGGGTGGCTAATGAATCCTTTGAAAGTATGACACAGTTCAAATATTTGGGGACAACAATAACAAATCAAAATGACACTCATGAGGAAGTTAGGAGGAGATTAAATTCTGGAAATGCTTTCTACTTCTCAGTTCAAAATATTTTGTCTTCCTGTCTGATTTCTAAGAACCTGAAGATTAAAATATGCAAAACAATAATTTTTCCTGTTGTTTTGTATGGGTGCGAAACATGGTCTGTTACTCTGAGGGAGGAACGTAAATTGCAGGTGTTTGAGAATCGGGTGTTGAGGAGGATATTTGGGCCTAGGAGAGAAGACGATGGGGCATGGAGAAAACTGCATAATGATGAGCCTTGGCCTCTAAATCAAATTTTTAAAATGTTAAATACACTTGAGGTGTTTCAAAATTCTTCTGAGATTCTATAACCTCTTATTAAGATATGATCTCTGTTTTGTTTGCCTGACTACAGTTTTTATTTCAGAATTTTTGAATATGTGCTTCAAAAGAAATATATGATTTTTTATAAAGATGCATCTATTTCTTTAAAAGCGTGGAATTAAATTTAGCCAGCATGAGGTAAGTTAATGAATAATGAATTGGAAAGGATACAGAAGGAAATAGTCATTGCCTGTTTCAAGGCACTATCCTGGCATTTGTTGTAGAGACTGAGGAAAACCATTGAAGAATTTAGTTGGGGTAGCTGTAGTCTCTGGCTGGATTATCAGTTGCTAAGATCATGGAAGAATCTGGGATACCAAAACAACTGTGTATGAAATTACCAAAAGTAAAAAAGTAAAGTAGTCACACTACACGCCACGTAAGTCGCTTGAGGGGAGAGGAGGTATAGCTCCTACTCATTCTTGACCTCGGCACTAGTTGGGAGTAAGGGGTCAGCATTGTGCCCTGGCCAGGTTTTCCCCGCAGGAAAGGACTCGATGCAGAGACTAGAGGAAAAGTCCTCTGGCCCCGTCGGGGATCGAACCCCAATCGTCAGCCTGTAGCTAGTACTGACTGACCTATCCTGGCTCATCTGAAATTACCAGTGAACAAATTAAAGAAACCTGAGGCTTGCTAATTGAATTATCGTCAGATCTGGACTACATTATCTGCAGTGTAGTCCAGACTAGTGATGTTTTACTACCATAAAGTACACAGTAATTTTTTTCTCTCTCATTTGAGTAGTCTTCTAAGAGAAATGTGATTAAGTTTAAGAACTGGACCCGTAACTTCTAGATGGATAAATTACAGATGAGTCATTGCGTATGTAGTTATAAATTTTGAAGTCTTGATCCAACTACCAAACTATCATTCTGGTAGTAGAACATGAAGATTTAACTCACACTAACAATAAATGCTCCTGAGCCATTTCTATCTACCTTATGTTCGTACAACTATTATCCGTACACGTCATTTGAATATTTTCCTTCTTTTTTCTTTTTTGTCCAAATGACCATTTCCGAAAAGGTCCCTCCAGTGAATTTCCATATTTATTTCTTGTATTCCTTATCTTAGCCAAATGCCCTGCTGTGTAGATTCTTGAGTAGGTATTTATTTTATGTTATGTTATGTCTTGTATGAGCTGCAGCAGTGACTTGCTATAGTCTGGGTGACTGTGAGTCAATTCCTGAGTGGAGCAGATACTTTTCTCTTTGACACAGCGACCCAGACCATCTTTGAAGCCCATCCAGCTTCCTGTCCAATTCGTGTGTGACTTTTGTATGCATTTTGGGGAAAGGAAACGAAGTCCAATGCTGATCAGAGAGCGTCATTTGTGTCATTTTGTACAGTAAAGACATAAAATAATGAATATAAATCATGTTGACTTTGACACAGTTATTAAAATGTGCTCGAAAATTCCCACTCCGAATGTTAAGATTCGTGTCTGATCCCGAGTTGTATTAAGTTGAAAACTCAGATTGCATTTTTGAGCAATTCACTTGCTTCAAAGTATACTTACGTCAGACATTGTATGAGAATGTAAATGATGTACATCGCAGTGTGTGGATTCTGCTCCGTGTCTAGATGGTTTTCATTATGGTAGCTATTGTATGGTTGAACCTGGAAATTTTTCACTACAGAACTTTCACACAAAAAATAAAATTAAAAATGAAAATATCTGTTAGTATAACAGCCAGCCTGTGATATGTAGATGAAAGTAGAGCCAACTTCTGAAAGATATTTCAGACAATGGGTATGGAACAACATTATTGCGGTGTATTTTATGAAACCTTTGTAGCTGGGATTGCTAACCTTATGCCTGCAGGCACCTTGGTGCCCTCGGAAGGCTTTTGAGGTGCCTGTGCCAATTTTGAATATTCTTAGGGAATTTTAAGTGTAAGTTTTCGACTATCCAATAGTTGTCACAATCCTGCAATATTTTCTCTTGAACTAGTTGGTATGAAGGATGTGAGAACATAATTAGTAAGTTATTTCAATTTACATTCATAGTTTGTAGTTTCCTGTCACACAAGAAAGGCTGGTGGTTGCTGTTTTAGAGAATCATTTCCTGTTTTGTTAAGGAGGAAGGGATATGGATGTGTTTTACAGAAGCTTTGCCATTCACCTCAATTCCTGGTGGGTGCCAGCACCTTACTTATTGACAAAACTGTGTAACACAATAAAATTTCCTCGCAGTTACTTGGTATCTATTGCCATTCAGTGTTTCACCATCTGTCATTAATAGGTTTGTGCCTGATAAAGTTCATTGTCTGGATGATTTTGGAACATTTTTGGAGATAGTTTGACATTGTAATGTGAGCCTGCTGCTTTTACATTTCAAGCATAGTTTGTGTGTATATATATGCATTTTTTTTTGGTATAGTTCTGTCCCACACGGTGCTGCGAAGCAATAATATTAATACATCGAAGTATCAGCCCCAAAATGTGTGAGGTGCACTTACTCCAACAGGTTTTTTTAAACAAGATGTTCATTTATTTATTTAAAAAATCCAGTGCCATGATTTCTTAAAACGTCTTCAATCCAGTGATCTTCATCATGTGTAGTGTAGATGTTTTGTCAGAGATGGAAATTCACGAGTTTTATATTGTGCATGTGGTGTGTGTGAACATTCTATCAGATGTACTTCAAGAACCTTGCCCGTTGACTTGTGTTATCATTTCCACTTCATTACATCAGGCTGCGCTGATAAGTGACAGGAAGAAATATGTATGCGATGGAAGTGTAAGAAAAACACAGATGGAGAATGCATTCTTAACAATGATCCATGTGTATGTATGTGTGTATTTGTAGAAGTATTTCTTGGACCCTGTTTCAGAGCCAGAAATGTTTCTTATTTATGGAAGGGCAAAAATGACTCCTCCTCCCCACTTGTTTCGTGTTCAGTCACATGTTGTAATACCAGTACAATCACTGAGTGGGTTTGTATAGATGTATACTCAGGAGGTATTTACCAAATCTGAGATTCATTACAGAATGCTGGGATAGTACTTCAGATAGGACATAACAGTTTCCTTTCAAATTCTTACATGATGATCATTTACCTTATTTGATGCTAAAATGTGAATAGTTGAAATAGCATTGTTAAGTAATCATTGTCATGGAATAAATTGGTGGTGAATTGCAAACCATAACCTCAAATGGCTGTACCGGTACAATCATGTGTAAATAGTACAGACATCTTCCTCAACAGTGCATACATCAGTGTTGCCAATATAATGATACTGTTTATGGATTGTGACAGATATTGTTAGGTTAGGTTAGACTGGAGTTGTTTTCAACACCAGAACATTTTTTGGAAGTAGAAGAAATTGAACGTTGGTCTTAAACATGGCTTTAAACTAGTCACATATATTTTATTGTAGGTAAGAGCAAGTATCATGTAATGCAATACATGACCAGGTCAGTCAATGTACCATTTGCATGAATTATTATGATTGGCTGTCCATATCATCTTTCTCTCATTGACAGGGTATATAATGTTACTGTTTGTGATCTGCTCTCAGCTGATTAGATCTTAAGACCTGCTCTGGTGTAAACATTCAGCCTGGCACACTGTGATGTCTGTTGCCAGTTTACTGTTGTGTTGTTCCTGTTAGCAGCACAGTTTGTAGGTTATGTTAGGTTGCATTGGCCTGGTCCAGTTACTTTGTCTATAAATTCCAGCTGCTTTCATCATCTTATGTCAGAACAGTGCAATAATGTGAAATGTGTAAGCTCTGACACAGGATCATTCAAATGTTCATTATTTTTTTATCTGC